GCCGGGATCCTAATGAACCGTCACGTAATCCGCCGGGATCCTAATGAACCGTCACGTAATCCGCCGGGATCCTAATGAACCGTCACGTGACCGGCCGGGATCCTAATGAACCGTCACGTAATCCGCCAGGATCCTAATGAACCGTCACTTGACCCGCCGGGATCCTAATGAACCGTCGCGTAATCCGCCGGGATCCTAATGAACCGTCACGTGACCCGCCGGGATCCTAATGAACCGTCACGTAATCCGCCGGGATCCTAATGAACCGTCACGTAATCCGCCGGGATCCTAATGCACCGTCACGTGACCCGCCGGGATCCTAATGCACAGTCACGTGACCCGCCGGGATCCTAATGAACCGTCACGTGACCCGCCGGGATCCTAATGAACCGTCACGTAATCCGCCGGGATCCTAATGAACCGTCACGTGACCCGCCGGGATCCTAATGAACCGTCACGTAATCCGCCGGGATCCTAATGAACCGTCACGTAATCCGCCAGGATCCTAATGAACCGTCACGTGACCTGCCGGGATCCTAATGAACCGTCACGTAATCCGCCGGGATCCTAATGAACCGTCACGTGACCCGCCGGGATCCTAATGAACCGTCACGTAATCCGCCGGGATCCTAATGAACCGCCACGTGACCCGCCGGGATCCTAATGAACCGTCACGTAATCCGCCGGGATCCTAATGAACCGTCACGTGACCCGCCGGGATCCTAATGAACCGTCACGTAATCCGCCGGGATCCTAATGAACCGTCACGTAATCCGCCAGGATCCTAATGAACCGTCACGTGACCCGCCGGGATCCTAATGAACCGTCATGTAATCCGCCGGGATCCTAATGAACCGTCACGTGACCCGCCGGGATCCTAATGAACCGTCACGTGACCCGCCGGGATCCTAATGAACCGTCACGTAATCCGCCGGGATCCTAATGAACCGTCGCGTGACCCGCCGGGATCCTAATGAACCGTCACGTGACCCGCCGGGATCCTAATGAACCGTCACGTGACCCGCCGGGATCCTAATGAACCGTCACGTAATCCGCCGGGATCCTAATGAACCGTCACGTGACCGGCCGGGATCCTAATGAACCGTCACGTAATCCGCCAGGATCCTAATGAACCGTCACTTGACCCGCCGGGATCCTAATGAACCGTCGCGTAATCCGCCGGGATCCTAATGAACCGTCACGTGACCCACCGGGATCCTAATGAACCGTCACGTGACCCGCCGGGATCCTAATGAACCGTCACGTAATCCGCCGGGATCCTAATGAACCGTCACGTAATCCGCCGGGATCCTAATGCACCGTCACGTGACCCGCCGGGATCCTAATGCACCGTCACGTGACCCGCCGGGATCCTAATGAACCGTCACGTAATCCGCCGGGATCCTAATGAACCGTCACGTGACCCGCCGGGATCCTAATGAACCGTCACGTGACCCGCCGGGATCCTAATGAACCGTCACGTAATCCGCCGGGATCCTAATGAACCGTCACGTGACCCGCCGGGATCCTAATGAACCGTCACGTGACCCGCCGGGATCCTAATGAACCGTCACGTAATCCGCCGGGATCCTAATGAACCGTCACGTAATCCGCCGGGATCCTAATGCACCGTCACGTGACCCGCCGGGATCCTAATGCACCGTCACGTGACCCACCGGGATCCTAATGAACCGTCACGTAATCCGCCGGGATCCTAATGAACCGTCACGTAATCCGCCGGGATCCTAATGAACCGTCACGTAATCCGCCGGGATCCTAATGAACCGTCACGTGACCCGCCGGGATCCTAATGAACCGTCACGTGACCCGCCGGGATCCTAATGATTCACGTGACGGTTCACGTGGCGGTGTG